AGGCGAGAGCCGGATTTCTGATTCATGTGGAAGGACGTCTCAGGCGGGAGCGCCAGGCCAGAATATATATGTTGAGGAAATCTCCGGCGAAAGGAGAAATATGAAGGCAAGAAAGATAACTTTGAGTACGAGGAGGGGCGAGGAGAACCCGGATGAGGAAGAGCATCAGGAGCACGATGATGAGAAGGATGATAAGGAGGAGGAGGAGGAGAGAAGTAACGGCGAGAAGTAGGAAGAACGGCATGAGGATGCGGAGGAGAAGGGAGGACGATGAGGTTGCGTAGGAGGGTGGACGGCGAGAAACACGATGAGGACGGCGACATAAACAACGACGACGACATTGATCACGACAAGGGCGCACGCAAATCAGGAACAGGAGGACGGTGATTCGGAGGACTAGAACAAATTTTGAAGCCACATTAAATCTAGAGTCGCTGATGGGGATGCTGGACCCTGGCCTTAATATATTCCTCCTTCGTCGCTGCTCCGCGTCATCCTTCTGCTGCTGCTGCCCCTCACATCCCCCATCCCTCCGCTGCTCCTCCACGTCCTGCTCTTTTCTCACGTCTCGCCCGCCGTCCCCCCCCCACACACACACACACTTCTCGCTCCTCACTTTCCACGCTTGTCCAAGGATGAATTAAAGAGGATCAGATGGGCCGCAGATGCGCAGAGTATCAGAAGGCAGAGGAATATACAGCGGAGGATGAAGATGAATAATATGATTGCCGTGGCGAGGTGGATCGCAACGATGGCGGCGACCCGCCGACCACGACGACTGCAATATATCACAACGGTATCGGCGCTCAAGGTGACGACAACAACGGTTGCAATGATTCGTCATGAAGTTGATTGCGAGTGAATTTGATGATGAGCACGGTGGTGATGACGATGACCACGATGATGATAAGGACGATGATGATGATGACGATGATGGCGATGATAATGATGATAACGCCGACGACAACGATGAGGGTCCTGATGACGACGACGGCGACGACTACGACGAAGACGAATCGGATGAACGGGCGGCCGCCCGCCGCGGCAGAAGCGGACGGCCGGCCGAGGCCGCGGCAAACGCCCAAGAGATCTACGCGGCGGCCTCTGCTGAGAGAAAGTCTGCGCTGCAAGGCTCTTCTCAGCAGGGGCACCCGGGTGCCTCTGCTGAGAAGGCGCGGGCCTGATCCCGGGATCGCTCGCTGGGCGTGATGAGACGACGCCCTCCAAGTAGAGCTTGTTTCATCAGGGCCAGACGACGATCCCAGGGTCAGACCCGCGTCCTCTCAGCAGAGGCACCCGCGTGCCTCGGTGGGAAGACCCCTACAGCGCAAACCTCATCTCAGCAGACGCCGCCGTGTAGATCCTAGACGTTCGCCGCGCCACGTGCTCTCAGCAGGGCCGCTGGGTTGGCCTTGCCGAGAACGAGTAGAATGCGGCAAACGCCTAAGACCCCAGGGGCAGGGGGCTCGATCGGAAGCCAAAAGCTGTTGGTGTTGGCTGTATCTTCTGTTGAAATACCGATGCCGATCATGGCTTGGTACCGGTACCTGTACCGGCATCGGTACTGGTATCGATAGCGATACTGGTACCGACAGGCGCAGAACCGTTCTTAGCATTAACATTCGCACAGTCCAAGGGGGCCCTGCTGGAGTCTGGAGGAGAGAGGGGGCTGCAAGGAGGAGCAGGAGGAGTATGGGGGGAGATGGAGGAGGCAGCAGCAGAAAGAGGACCAGGACAAGGATGGTGACGAGGCGGAGAAACATCACCAACATACCGATTTATAGGCTCAGTCCAGCATCCCCGACAGCGATTTTGAGCCAGGGTGGCTCCAAACATTGTTTGCGCGTCCACCGAATCATCGTCCTCCCGCCCCTGATTTGCCTGCGCCCTTGTCATCGTCACAGTCGTCGTCATTGCTGGCATCGTCCTCTTTGCCATGCTTCTTGCCCTTTCCCCCTTCCCAAACCTCCTTTTCCTCCCCCTCCTTCTCCTCCCCCCGTCATCCCGTTCCTCTTTCTCCTCGTCTTTCTTCTCCCTCGTCCTCTTATTTTCCTCGTTATCACCATCGTGTTCCTGATGTTATTCCTCCTGGTTCTTCTCGCCCCACCTCGTTCTCCTGGCTCTCCTCATCGCCCTCGAAGTTCTCCTCTCGCTGGAGATTTCAACGTGTACCAGGGCGTGTCCGAAATTCATGTTCTCGCCTCGGCGCCGGCGAACTGCCCCCTCGGGGCAGGGGCGCCTGGACCCCTCCTGGGGCGCAACTCGATATTAGCAGTGTAGTGTAACAGGAAGCTCGGGCCTGGCCCCATCGGAGCCCAGTTGTGAGGATGTCTCAGGCAAAACTGACTGGACTACCTCGTGCGCGGCATCTCGGAACCCTGAGTTGCGAGGAGGTCTCAGGCGAAATTGGCCCGACCATCTCTGGCGCGGCATTTTAGAGCCCAGAGTTGCGAGGATGGATCAGGCAAATCTGGCCGGAGTACGTCGAGCGCATCATCTCTGCGCCCGGGGTTGCGGGGATGCATCAGGCCATATTGGCCAAACGACCTCGGGCGCAGCATGTCTGAGCCCAGAGTTGCGAAGATGTCTCAGGCGAAAATGGGCCAGATCACCTCAAGTCAGGAGCATCTCTGAGCCCAGAATTGCGAGGATGTCTCAGGCGAACCGGACCGGACAACCTCACGCGTCGCAATTTCGAGCCCAGAGTTGTGAGGATGTCTCTGGCGACATGGGCCAGATCACTTCAGGCCACAACAGTTCAGAGACCAAAGTTGCGAGGATGTCTCAGGCGAAACGGGCCCGACCACCTCGCACGCGGCATCTCTGAGCCTGGAGTTGCGAGGATGTCCCAGGCGACACAGGCTGGACCACCTTATGTCAGAGTGTCCCTGAGCCCGCGCGCGACTTCTTGGAGCCCAGAGTTGCGAAGATGTCGCAGGCAAAATTAGCCGGACCGCTTCGCACGCGGCATCTCGGAGCCCAGAGTTGCGAGGAGGTCTGAGGCGAGTTTGATTGGGCCACCTCGCGCCTGGCATCTCGGATCTCAGAGTTGCGTGAATGCCCCGGGCGAATGGGGCCAGACCGCTTCAGGTCAGGGCATATCTGAGCCCAGAGTTGCGAGGATGTCACAGGCGAATCGTGCCGGACCAACTCAGTCAGAGCATTTCCGATCCCAGAGTTTCGATGATGCCTCTGGCCAAACGGGCCCGACCACCCCGCACGCGGCATTTCTGAGCCTGGAGTTGCGAGGATGTCCCAGGCGAAACAGGCTGGACCACCTTGTGTCAGAGTATCCCTGAGCCCACGCGCGACATCTTGGAGCCCAGAGTTGCGAAGATGTCGCAGGCAAAATTAGCCGGACCGCTTCGCACGCGGCATCTCGGAACCCAGAGTTGCGAGGAGGTCGGAGGCGAGTTTGACTGGGCCACCTCGCGCCTGGCATCTCGGATCTCGGAGGTGCGTGAATGCCCCGGGCGAATGGGGCCAGACCACCTCAGGTCAGGGCATATCTGAGCCCAGAGTTGCGAGGATGTCACAGGCGAATCGTGCTGGACCAACTCAGTCAGAGCATTTCCGATTCCAGAGTTTCGATGATGCCTCTGGCGAAGATGGGCCAGACCACCTCGCGAGAGGTATCTCGGAACCCAGAGCTGCGAGGAGGTCTCAGGCGAAGTGGGCCCGAACCACATTAATCCAGGACATATATGAGCCCAGATTTGCAAGGATCCTCAGGCGAGCCGGGCCGCACCTCTTCGCGCGCGGCATCTGGGAGCCCAGAGTTGCGAAGATGTCTCAGGCGAAATTGGCCAGACCACCTTGCGCGCGGCATCTCGCAGAGTTGAGGAGAATGTCTCAGGCGAGAATGTCTGAAATAAGCTTTTCCAGATCACCTCGCGCTCGGCATGTCTGAGCCAAGAGTTGCGAGTATGTCTAAGGCGAAACGGGCTGGACATCCTCAGGTTAGGGGCATATCTGAGCCCAGAGTTGCGAGGACGTCTCAGGCGAAATGGACTGGACCACTTCGCGCGTGGCATCTTGGATCCCAGAGTTGCGAGGATGAGTCAGGCGAAATGGGCCAGGCCACATTGCCCCTGGCAGCTCGGAGCCCAGAGTTGCGAGGAACTCTCGACGGAACGCAACGCAGCGCAATGGGAAGTGACGCAACAGAAATGCAATCCCATGCGTTGTAATGCAATGCCATGCCATGCCATGCAATGCAATGCAATGCAATGGCATTCCATGCAAGTGCAATGCAGCATATGCAAAATGCAAGTACAGATGGGCATGAGACAGAGGCTTCCACTGTGGGGGATGCGGGATAAAAAAAAGAGAGAGAGAGAGAGAGAGAGAGAGAAAGAGAGAGAGAGAGAGAGAGAGAGAGAGAGAAAGAGAGAGAGAGAGAGAGCGAGGGAGAGAAGGAGCGCGATGAGGAGGATGTGGAGTTGTTTTCCAGGTCTCTCCGTGCAACTTGGCATGAACCACAGTGCAACACCAGTAGCAGGAGGCGGGGCTGGCAACAGGATCAAGCACATCGGAAGCGAACTTAGCAGGAACACGACGAGGGCCGCCGAAAGCCGCCGAGGGCCGCCGAAGGCCGCCAGGGGCTGCCGAAAGCCACCGACGGCCGCTGAAGGCCGCCGAAGGGCGACGAGGCAGAGGAGGAGGAGGAGGAGGAGGAGGAGGAGGAGGAGGAGGAGGAGGAGGAGGAGGAGGAGGAGGAGGAGGAGGAGGAGCAGGAGGAGGAGGAGGAGGAGGAGGAGGAGGAGGAGGAGGAGGAGGAGGAGGAGGAGGGGAGGAGGCGGAGGAGAAGGAGGAGGAGGAGGAGGAGGAGGGGGAGGGGGAGGAGGCAAGGAGGAGGAGGAGGGAGAGGACGAGGTGCTAATAGGACGTGAAAAGAGGAAGGAAGGGGAGGAGGACAGGAGGAGGAAGTGGAGGAGGAGGAGGAGGAGGACGACGAGGAGGAAAAACAAGACCAGCAGCAGGAGGCGGAGCTGACAACTGGATCAAGCACATCTGGAGCCCACTTAGCAGAACAGAAGCCCACTTAGCAGGAACACGACTTCACGGGCGGCCTCGGGGACAAGACGGCGCCGGCTGCGCGCATGGCAGCGCCCAGGGAGGGGAGCAGTATCGGGGGCGGCAAAGAGGGGGGTGATGACTAGGGGGGGGGATATCATGGCGGGGGCCATGATATTTCCCCAGGTTTCGTGGCGCCTCTTCCTATTTCATAACGTCCCTGGCCCCCCCGCTGGGCCGCGCACATGCCGCCGGTCATGATTTGCACACCCCCCTCTTGGACACCACCCTCTTGGCCGCTCCCGACAGTAGTGTGGCTGACTGAGTTTGTGGACGGCGATCAACGGAGAGGAAACATTTTGCCGAACAACATCCATATGTCTAACCAATGTGTTTACTATGTCTCAAACCTGTAAGCACTACGTTACCATGTTTAGACCTTTTCGTTATATCATCTGCAGCACATGTTTCATTGAATGATGGGGTTGTTAGAGTGTCCGTTGTTATGGCATCCACGAGACCAAGTCCGTGTTCAGCTGGACCCCCAAAGTTTCACACAAGTCACGGCGTTTGCGCAGCTGGCGCCAATCAGGGACAGGTGGACCAGTCACCCGACGCTGCACCTCCCATGTGTTCACGAAAGTTCCGAGGCCGGGGACTATTTCATCCATAACCTTTGCCTCGGGGATCCGTCGTCGGGGACCTCGGCAGGCGGTTGATATGGACATATTCGAACCCTGTGGGGTGGGGGTTTGGGGGGGGGGGGGGGGGGCAAATGTATCCATGTCCACCGCTTGCCGAGCTTACACAGGCAGTCGTTACGCATAAACCCCCGCCTCGAAAACGTGGCGACAGAGGCGAGGTCTAGTTTGCTCGCCTTTGGCGCCACCTTCTACTGGACCTCCTACATCGGAGCTCACGGATGATGCGGCAGTTGCGCGGCTGACAATTTAGATGCATTTGAGCCGCGCTCCGCTGGTCGGGCGAAGAGAACTATGCACATGCACCGACCCTGGGAAGGCCCATCCTTGATCCAAGATCGGTGCATATACATTCCTGGCCAAGGTAGGAGGGCGTATGCACCGATCCTGGGCTCAGGATGGGCCTGGCCAGAATCGGTGTATGTGCATAGTTCTCTTTCCTCTAGCTGGACCTCCCAGGAGCTCGCGCAAGTTGCAAGCGTTCCGCAGTGGGCAGCTCTCCCAGGTCGGCGAAAAGCCTGGTTGGGACGCCTGTGTAGTGCCGCCCTGCGCTGGAGACCTCCTGGGACCTGGGAGCTCACGAACGAGGCGGCAGCTCCGCAGTTGGCAGCCCCCCCCTGGATGGGAGGTTTCGTTTGGGCGCATTTAGGTCCGCTCACTCCGCTGGCCTTCCGAGGAGTTCATGGCAGTGGCGGCAGCTGTGCAGCTGGCAGCGAGCCTCAGTCGAGACCCTGCCAATAGCTTATATGACGAGCCGCTCGTGAGCCTCTCGAGAGTCTCTCATGAGTCTGTCGGGAGCCTCTCAGGAATACGTCGGGTGCCTGGGTCCTGAGACTCAGGAGCCTCTCTGGCGCATCGCGGCATCGTTCCATCGGGGTCCTTTGCTGGAACCAGTTCGTCGATCCCAGTGCGTCTCATGTGCTTCGGGGCCCGTGGTGTGCGCCCCAGGGGGCCATCAACCAGAACTCCGGGGCGAAACTTGTCGCACGCGGGAAGGGCCGGAGCTCTGGGGCCTCGGGCCGCTCAAGCCACATCGTCGCACGGTTGAGCTCGCGTCGCGGTCCCAGACCTCTGTGATGACTCGATAGTGTCGAGGACCCTTCAGAGGAGCAAACGTTGCCTATGCCGCTGCCCCGCCTTCGTCATCTCATTGGTCCGAAAGATACCCGTACCCGGGGCCAGCCAAGGTGAGATGGGCCGTCCGGGGGACTGGGCGTTTGCTATTGTGCCCGGTCAGCTTGCCCCGCGCGCGCCAGTGCAGCATCCGCGCGTCAAGACGCAACGGCGCGCTCGATGGCTGGGTGTCTGATTGCAGCGACAAGCGCTGGTTTTTGTTAGGGACGTCTCGGGGCATCGTGGTGCGTGCGCGGTTCAAAGCCGCCCATATGTGGCGGCGCTTGTCCCAACCGATGAAGAGTTGCATTTCCTCGCTATCCTGGCAACCAATGCGTCTGGGCCTGCACTGGGGAACGACGTTGCAATGTCGCGCCCCCAGGGGGCCGCAGCGGCCACGTCGGGGACGGCTCTGGAGGGCATGATATGTGTTCGAGAGCGTTTTGGGCCTGTCGCAACCTCGGCTAGGTACGGGGACCTGCCGGGAACCACCGAAACATACCCGGACCTAGCTGGGGAGAGCTGCGGCACCCGGGCTAGGTACGGGTATGTTTTTGGGGTTTTCATGGGGCAACCGTGCCTAGTTGGGGTGATCCGCAGACGGCCGTCCAAGGGGGGCGGCTTCTGGCGACCTCGCCCACGGCACAGATTCGCGATGTCTCTGCATCGAGCAATTCGCGATAGGGCGGTCGTCGCGCAATGACGTTCGCGCCAGAGTTGTTCGCATGCGCCCCCGAGTGCGCGTTGAGTCCTCAACGCCCGGATGTGTGTCTGGGGGCGCGCCTCCGCAGTAACTGGTCTACATCGACAACAACCAACGCAGGGTCGGGCTCTCCGCCGATTCGAACGCACGTGCGATCGGTGCTAACGTGCGCCCCGAAAAGACAGCGGTGTGTAATGCTCGATCGGCTGTCGTTTCTACATTTGTGCAGCCGCCGTCAGCTGCGACGAACCGCCCCCCGGCGGGTACGGGTATCTTTCGCGCTCGGGATCATCGCCCTTCTGGACCTCCCAAGATGCCTTCATCGCCATGGCTGGATTCGCCTCGGACTCCTGGTCAAAGCGTGCGCTCTGGGAGGGTTCCGTGGAGTAGGGGTGTCCGTATGTAAAGTGTTCAGGTGTGCCCTCTTTCTGCGGGCCCCCATCCTCTCGGCTTCGTTTTCTCGGACCAATCGGTTCGTCATCCCGAGCTGTTATTCGACAGCGTGGTGGCCGGGTCAAAGGTGTCCAGAGGTCTGGGGAGAAGGTCGGTGCGGCAGGCTTTTCCGTGACTTCGACGCCCGGGGACCGCTGTCGTGCCCCCGGGGCCGTCACAAAACGACCCGTGCCGAGAAGCCGGTTTCGGGGCTGGGGTCGGGAGCTCGGGGGCCAACGCCCTCACAGAAGCCGCGGCGGCGGAGTTCTGGGCAGGGGGGGGGGCCGAGGCGGTCGCCGCCAGGGTCGAGCACGATCGGCAGCCCCTTGGGGGGCGTTTGGGGGGGAGACGGCCCCGCTTGCGCACCCGAGGGCAGCAGGGCGGAGGGCGAAGGAGGAGGGTGGAGGAGGGCGGAGGAGGAGGAGGAGGAGGAGGAGGAGGAGGAGGAGGAGGAGGAGGAGGAGGAGCAGGAGGAGGAGGAGGAGGAAGAGGCGAGGCGGAGGCGGAGGCGGAGGCGGAGGAGGCGGAGGCGGAGGCGGAGGCGGAGGCGGGGGCGGAGGCGGAGGCGGAGGCGGAGGAGGGGCACTGCGTGAAGCCAAGAGGCTGAAGTGAAGATCCCCTCGGGTTCGGAGGGTGCCCGCTGTTCCGGAGGCCCCTCCGTGGCCGTTCCTCTGGCCCTCGCGTGGGGCACCCGGGCTCATGCGTCTTGCAGCGAGCGGCAAGCAGGGGCCTCGTCCGTGCTCCAGGGCTCCTTCGCTCAGCGGCCCGGCTGTGCGGCTCCCCGCGCAGGCCGAGGGGGCGGCGGAGGAGGAGGAGGAGGAGGAGGACGAGGAGGAGGAGGAGGAGGAGGAGGAGCAGCAGGAGGAGGAGGAGGAGGAGGACCCGTCGTGGCCCCGGGGCCCCCGGCGGCTCGACGTGTCGTCGTGCCTCTGGGCGCCTTCGTCTCCCCGTGATGCCTTGCCTGTCCCCGTGCTGCTGTGTGACGCCCCCTGGGCCCGATCCAATGGCTGGGTAGTCGAAGGCCAGACTGGCAGATTGGATTGGGCCCCAAGGGCCAATCTGGCCTGGCCAAATTGGAGGATTGGGGTTATTCGCCAGACTGGATTCGCGTTGGTTCCCTCGTCAGATTGCCCCCGTTTGCCACATTGGGCCTGCCAGATTGGCGCCAGATTGGCTTCGACTAACCAGAACGGTGTTCACGGTTCGATCGGTTCGGCTGCGTCGCAGTCGGTTCTGTCCGGTTCGGTTCGGTCGGTCCTTGCTCCCGTCCGGGTGGCTTGCGGCCCCGATCGGGTGCGGTCGGTCTCAGTGGCGCTGTCGGTTTGGTGGGCTGTCGGATCTGCTGTGGCCGTGCGCGGCTTCGGGAGCGCGGCAGCCAGAGGCCGACAATGACGAAGGAGGAGGAGGAGGAGGAGGAGGAGGAGGAGGAGTACAAGGAGGAGAGACAGCTCTGGAGCTCTGGGATTCTCTTGCGTCGGTTCCACGGGTGTGCCCCAGGCCCGCTCGCTGTAGGGTTAGGGCGAGTGCCTTGCCATCTTGGGCTGCTCTTCGTTTTGGGCATCTCCATGGGGCCTTGGGCGCTCGGCGAAGGGGCTGATTTGAGTCGGGCCTCTCCCTCTACGGGAGGAAGGCTCAAAACTAGTAAGAGATCGGGGGGCGATGTTTCTAGTACTTTTTGACCATGTCGGGGTCGTTGTTGAGTTTTTTTTTCGATTCGTCGCTCAAAATCCGCCTGTAGGGGGACACCCGACCTAAGGCTGACTCTCTTGATCAATGTTCTTGTGATCATGTTTCGACTGTACACTTTCTTTTTTGTTCCAGGGTTCACGGCATCTCGTAGGCCGAGCCACGAATGCTCCCTGTGGATCCCGGCCCGAAGGCCCCTTCGCAGGAGGCGTCCTCGCAGGAGGAGGCCACCGAGGACGCGATCGAGTCGGAGGCCGAGGCTGATCAGGCCAGGCACCTTCTGTGCAAATAAAGCCCCCGCCCGCATCGCCCCCACGTCTGCAGTTCCGCCAGGCTTCCAACGTGGGGTCCGAGCAGACGGCGTCGGAGGAACGCGCCGCATCGCCGATGTATCGCCGGCGCGGCTCGACGGGGTGGCCCGATTTTCTCCGCGCCAGCGGCGCCGAAGCGTCGTCGATGCCTCGCGATCCTCCTGCCCAACCTGCTCGGACTTCTTGTGGGAGGCCTCGACCAAGGTCACGGAGGAGGAGGAGGAGGAGGAGGAGGAGGAGGAGGAGGAGGAGGGATGGAGGAGGTTTTCTTGGGTCGACGCTGGGGCGCCCCCCCCCACTCCCCGTCCCCCCGGGTGCGCCTGTGCCAGAGGCGTGGGCTAGGGTTTAGGCGGGCGTGTCTCTCTACAGGAGGCATACTCGAGAATCGTAAAGGATAGTCGGGTGACGATTTTCCATACTCTTTTCACTATGCTTGAGTTTGTTTTGATTGTTTCTTATGTGTCTCCCAAGATCCGCCCGTAGGGGCCTCCGGAAGTTCGTCGTTTGCCTCCGGCTTTCGCTCCTTCGTCCTCTGTCCGTCGGAGCCCTCAGGCCGCTGCGAACGTCACTGCCGAGGCGTCGGCGCCGTCGGTTGCCAGGGAGAGTGCCGCCACGGGCAGCTTAGATGACCTGGTTTCGACCAACGTCGAGACTCCGGAGGAGGTGTGGCGCGAGGTCGCGGCCGAGGCCACTCTGGAGCATGCGTGGGATGACTATCATGCGCAGGCAGAGGCCTCAGCTGCAGATGCCGCAGGGGCCGCGGCGGAGGCCGCCGCTGCAGACTACATTCCGTGTTCGCACGCGCCGCATGCGCTGGGCCGGCCGTGTCTTCAGGTGCACGAGCGAACCTCGGCACGAACGAAATGGGTACGGAAAGAATGGGTACCATGCCCAACAGCAGTTGCTGTTCATTCTGAACAGGACTCGCTGACCGCGCCGCCGCGGCCTGTGTCCATTTGAAACAGAAGGCCGCCTGCCCAACAGCGGCCATTGTTGGTTTGGGACAGCACTTGTTGTTGGGCATTGTATCCATTTTTTTCCGTGCCCATTTCGGGCGTCCAAAGAAGCTAGCGAATACCATGCAATCGGGGAGTTGGTCTCGTCAGCGATTGGCCCTGATCCGACCACTCTCGACTTTGGTCCTCGATCCGCCGTCAATGGATCAACCCGGTGTGCCCGACATGGGCTCGTTGGTGGCTGGACCATCTCGGACCCCGCTCTGATCACATGCCTGACCGTTCTAGGTTCTAGGCTTGCGCGGTCGATGAGAACGATGTGTGACGACATCTCTTGGGAACGGAGGGCCTCACATTTCTGGTGATGGTCTGCCCCTTGTAAACGTCACAGAGTCGAGCCGTTGCGACACTGTGGCGGTCTCCGTAGAGGGGCTATGAGGTTGCCGAACATGTCATGCCACGTTGCTGCAGCAGTTCCTTTCAGTTGGCAAGCAGTGGCGAAACGTCCTTTCTTGCCTATGGGCCCACCGAAGGACATTCTAAGAAGCTCCTTTTTGGCTTGCACGCAGTGATCAAATAGAGCATTTCTGGCTTAGTCTACCTTGTTTAAGTACGTTCGTTTCGTGGTATAAGAACAATGTGTTTGTTATTAAAACATTCTGTCGTTCCAAGAACAGATCGTGATAGGCCTACGAAAATGCCTGTTCTCTGCTTCCTGCTCAATGTCTGCCCTCCGGTAGATACTTTTCGCCGAGCGCGTTCCACTACTCGCAAAGTGCCTACTCTCCAACGTCCGAACAACACATGGCTGCACTGATGTCATTTATCGTAGATCCCCCGCGGGGGATACAGGCCATTTGCGAGTAGCTACTTTGCGAGTAGTGGAGCGCGCTCGTCTAACTCTGGGTCCTCAATTCTTTCTGCCCTTCCTCTTTCACCATTCTGTCTCTGTGCTCGTGGAGCTCTGCTCCCGACACTCGCCTCCTCTTACGCTCGGGCCCGTGCCCTGCGCCCCTCTGCCTCCTGCAATCCGCCAGCTGCGCTCCGCTCCATGCTTTCTGCGTTCCCATCCAGAACGAGCAACCGACAATATAGCATCTGCTGTCTACTCTTGTCTTGTTGTGTTTTGTGTTTTGTCCCTCTCTCTCTCTTTGTGTTTCTCTCTCTCTCTCTCTCTCTTTCTCTCTCTCCTTGCCCCGATGCTCCATTTCCCTCTCGTTCTATGCATGTCTCCATATATATATATATACACATAGGTGCACGCTTCATGCTGCCGCTGCTGCCCCCACTTCGTCCACTCTTTGCCTGCACTCTCTACTCGGAGGACCAGGGAGCACGGCGGACCGCTGGAGTAGGCGGACTCTTCAGTCCGCGACGTATCGCTGGAAACCGAGCCGCCTTCGACGTTGTCGGCACACTTTTTGCCCCGTCCTCCCAATGCCGCGGCCCTGGCACCCGAGACGGGCAGCCCTCTGCCCCCACGTCCGCACAGCGTCCGCGAGGACGCCTTCAGTACAAGCAGGCGGTTGGGCCACAGGCTTCTGGCCGCGTGCCGCTATATAGAGCCTCGCGGCCGTACGATGCGTGTCGTGATAGCCCCCTTGAGAGGAGGCGGATGGAATACGGCTTCGGAGCAAGGGAAGAGGCTCGTGGGTGTTTGCTCAGAAAAAAAAAGAGTTTTTGGCCGCGTACGCAGATCTTCTGGGTCGGCGCGGGAACCCCGTCCCCACGGACTGTGGTTATTTAGCTGATTTTCTGCTGTGGCCGTCGACGGGTGTCAGGCTGGACTTCACTGCGGGAAGTGGTTCGCAGATCCGCCGGCCGCCGGGTGATCATTGCCTTGGGCTGCGTGTGTGGAAACTCGCCCAAGGGCAATTCAGAGGACAGCGACATCTCGATACCCACACATTTTCTTTTGTTATTATCTTGCGATAGCGGCGGTTTCCAAGGGGGATGTGTCTGCGGCTAGCGAGGGGGGGAAGTGAGAAGGAGAAGGCCTTCTCAGAAGGCGGCGGGACTTCTCAGAAGCCTTCGCGCCTTCTGCGAAGTTGTTGTTTGTCCTCGGGGAAGGCTTAGAAAAACTTCGCAGAAGGCCGGGGGACTTCCGAACATTCTGAGAAGGCCTTCTCCTTCTCACTTCTCCCCCTCGCCCGCCGCCGAATATGGGAAAGGAGGCCAGCTAGCTACCCCGAGCCATTCCCAGACGGCGCGGGTGCGCCTCGTGACCTGGGGGGCGGAGGGGGGGAGGATGGTGGGCGTCCCTGGCAATGGGCGTCGCCGCGACTCGTTCAAACACGCGCTCATACCGTTCCATCGTGGCAGTTCTTTGTGGACCTCCTGGGGAGATCTCGTCGCAACGGCTGGTTTCGCGCCAGAGTCTTGGCCAGGGCATCTCCGTGAGAGGTCCAGGGGTGGCATCCATCCCTCTACGCTGGGTCGCGGCCTTTGCGGCGCCAGGATTGCATACGATCAGCCATGCATCGGCCTCGAGGCCCAGCGATTCCCCGTCCAGCGACTCACCATCCAATGATCGCGCCACGCCTCGATCTCGACACGCCCAGGTTTCGGCGGCCTGAAAGGGTGTACTTCCATCGCTCAGTTTGCCCAGCGTCGAGTTTTCTTGGTGGTTGCGGTGCCTCTTTGCCCGCGTCCCCGAACACCACCGCTCAGCGAAGTCTGCCCGGAGCGAGAGTGACGGCTGTGCTTTCTCTGACCAGGCTGCGCAGGACTGCCCGACGGGGGTGGCCCGGGTCGCAGATTTGACCGCGAGTCCCGCGCGCCAGCAGCACAGTCCAAATCAGATCTGAGGGTGGTGTATTAGGATTGGAAGCTTTGAGAAACCGCGAGGATGCCAGCCCAGACATCCGACGTCTTGACTGTTTCAGAACAAGGGTCCCTGAAGTCCCGCCCCTCTCCCAAGGGCCCGGTCTTCGTCCCGAGCAGCCTTTTGACAGCCCCAGGGCCCGTCGAGGGCATGATGTGGCCGAAAACGGTCAAAAAACCTGCCCTCGAGTTTTTTCTCGACGCGAGCATGTCGGGGAGGGTACCGACAGGGTACCGACAGATTGAGGATGCAGAATGTTTGCAGAGGATGCCCATCAGTCGAGGGTTGCGACCAGCTCTGCCTAAAGAGCTCATCCTCGAGGCCGATCTTCGCTGTAGCCTAACTTTGGGCGTTGGCATCTAAGGGCGCGGGCAACGCTGCCCCGACCACCACGGATGCGACCGTTGACCCGGACTTGGGGGATCCGAAAGACACCGATACCCTTCTTCCTGGACCTCTCCTGGGATGCTTCAAAACTCCTCTTCGAAAATCTCTAACCTCGACCCTCCCTCCCTCGCTCTGTGCGGGGGGGTCGGACCCTTAGTTTGTGGTTTTAGCTCTTCTCGTTCGGAAGCGATGATTAAATCATTGCTTGACGTTGTGTGTTCTTTTTTTCCAACCATCCTGTGGTGTTGGGTCCTCGTTTTGAAGAGACGGTGCCCCGCGTCTCCTCCTCCCGCTGCCCCCTCCCTCCTCCCTCCTCCCCCTCCGTGCCTCTGCTCTCGGCACACCCCTCACACGTTTCGTAGCCCCATAGGGAGCTCCACCGAAGGCCCCAGTGGGGGTGTTCGCATGCGGTTCTCCCACCCAGGGCAGCGCTTCGTGGCCCCATAGGGAGCTCCACCGAAGGCCCCACTGGGGGTGTTCGCATGCGGTTCCCCCACCCAGGGCAGCTTTTCGTGGCCCCATAGGGAGCTCCACCGAAGGCCCCAGTGGCTGCTCTCGCATGCGGTCCCCCCACTCAGGGCAGCGCTTCGTGGCCCCATAGGGAGCTCCACCGAAGGCCCCAGTGGCTGCTCTCGCATGCGGGTCCCCCACCCAGGGCAGCGCTTCGTGGCCCCATAGGGAGCTCCACCGAAGGCCCCAGTGGCTGCAGCAGATGTCCACATGTCGTCCCTGCGCCCACTTCGGCAGACCCCATGCCCCCCCGTGAGCTCAACCTATGGCCCCAGCGGGTGTGTCCACATGGCGCCCCCGCACCCATGTCGGCACGCCCCTCGCGCGTTTTCATGCCCCCAGGGAGCTCCACATGCGGCCCCAGCGGGTGTGTCCACATGGCGTCCCTGCGCCCACTTCGGCACACCCCTCGCACGTTGCCGGCCCCTCAAGGAGCAACACCTGTGACCCAAGCGGGTATTCTCACATGGCGTCCCCGCACCCATGTCGGCACAACCCTCACACCTTTCATGACCCCCAAGGAGCTCCATATCTGGCCGCAGTGGGCGGGTCCACATGCCGCCCCCGCGCTCATTTCGGCACGCCCCTCACGCGTCTCCTGCCACCCAAGGGGCTCCACCTGTGGACCCAGCGGGCGCGTCCACAGGGCGGTTCCGCGCCCGTTTTGGTATGTCCGCCTCGCGTTTCCTGCTTCCCAGGGGGCTCCCCCCGTGGCCCCAGCGGGTGTGTCCACATGTCGTCCCCGCACCCATGTCAGGCGACGCCTCGCACGCTTCCTGCCTCCAAGGGAGCTCCACCTGTGACCCCAGGGGGTGCGTCCACATGGCGCTCCACCTATGGCCCCAGGGGGTGTGTCCACATGGCGTCCACGCGCTCACTTCGGCACAGCCCTCGCGCGTTTTCTGCACCCCAGGGAGCTCAACCTACGGCCCCAAGGGGTTTGTTCACATGGCGCCTCATCGCCCATGTTGGCACACCCCTCGCGTGTTTCCTGTCCCCGAGGGAGCTCCACGTACGGCCCTAGCGGGCGTGTCCAAATGGCGTCCCAAGCTTCACTTGAGGCCGCAGCGGGGGTGTCCACATGGCGTCCCCGTACCGATGTCGGCACACCCCTCGCGCGTTTCCTTCCACCCAGGGAGCTTCATCTATGGCCCTGGCGGGTGTGTCCACATGGCGCCCCCGCGCCCATTACGGTACCCCTCTCGCTCTTCTTGCCCCCAAGGGAGCTCCACCTATGGCCCTGGCGGGTGAGTCTTCACGGTATCCCCGCAGTCATTTCGGCACACCCCTCCACGTTTCTTGCCACCCAAAGGGCTCCACCTATGGCCCCAGCGGGCGTGTCCACATGGCGTCCCAAGCTTCACTTGTGGCCGCAGCGGGGATGTCCACACGGCCTCCCCGAATCGATGTCGGCACACCCCTCGCGCGTTCCCTGCCAACCAGGGAGCCCCAGCTATGGCACCAGCGGGTGTGTCCACATGGCGCCCCCGCGCCCATTTCGGTACATCCATCGCGCGTTTCCTGCCCCCGAGGCAGCTCTACCGATGGCCACGGCGGGTGTGCCTTAACGGTGTCCCCGCAGTCATTTCGGCACACCCCTCACACGTTTCCTGTCCCCCAGGGAGCTCCACCTATGGTCCCCGTGGTGAATGAATTTGCGGGAGTGCACGCATCAACGGGGTACTCTGTGCGCGGTCTGACCGTGTTTGTCGAAATTGTCCGGGACACTGCAGATCCTGCCACGTGCTCTTGTGCCTTGCGCCGTCCCGTTCAGAGCTGCCTCCCGTTCGCTCAGGGCTGCCCTCTTCGCCGGGCGACTTGCTTCGCCGACCTCGCGGTTCCCCTGGGGCCCCGGCTGCATGGTCGGTGCCCCTCTTCCGAGGACCCGCTGCCCCGGCTCAGCCCGGAGCACGACGTGGAGCGCGCCTCCGAGGCCGCCGCGGTGGACGCCTCCCCCGCCCAGCCCGAGGCCGCCGCCGTCGCCTCCCCCGCAGTGGCCGCCGAGGCGGGCGCCGCCGCCGAGGCCGCCCCCGCGGCGAGCGCCGCGGTGAACGCCTCGAGCGCCGCGGTGGACGCCGCGAGCGGCGCGTCGTGCTACGACGCCCGGCGCCCCTCGCGACGAAGGAGACGACGAAGGAACAACACCCCCAGGGGAGGGGGAGGAGGAGGAGGAGGAGGAGGAGGAGGAGGAGGAGGAGGAGGAGGAGGAGGAGGAGGTGGAGGACCAGTGTAAACCCAATCGCCATCAACGATGTTGGAATAAACCCTCTTTCCAAGCTCCCTCTGCATAGGCCCCCACAACGGCTCATTTCCATTGAAGGAGCTGCCTCTTTGGACGACGACCGTTTGAAGACCCTGAAGCATGCCAAGACATTGTTCTCGGGACTCCGACGCCATGGATCAGCCTGACTGATGCGTCTTGACAACCCTGAATCGTGCCAGAACGTCATTCCTGGGATCTCAACACAGCGAATCAACATAACTCTTGCACAAGAAACAAGCAATTCCGGCACGTTGTTGATGGGAATACGTGACATGCATGCAAATGTTTAAAACGAATGTTCGCCAGGCGAAGGCGAGAACCACATTTTGAAAAGGAGCCGCCCTCAATCCGTGAATCCCTTGCAAATTTGTAAAACGAATGTGCGCCGCGCCAAAGCGGGAGCCACATGTTGAAAACGACCTGCCCTCAATCCGTGAAGCTCTCTGCAATGTTTCCAAACGAATGTGCGCCGAGCTAAGGCATGAGCCACATTTTGGAAACCACACGCCCTCAATCCGTGAATCTCTTTGCTAATGTTTAAAACGAGTGTGCGCCGCGCTTGGGCGAGAGCCACATGTTGAAAACGGCCCGCCCTCAGTATGTGAAACTGTTACCATTTCTAAATGTTTCAGAATCATAAACGGTGAGGAACTCAAGCGAAACGCATGGCCCGCCCTAACACCTGGCCTCGGGTGCGACATGGAGAAGTTGTTTGTAAGGAAAAGGAATGGAGGAGGAGGAGGAGGAGGAGGAAGAGGAGGAGGAGGCGGAGGACGAGGAAGAATAATAACATGAAGAAGAAGAGGAGGAGGAGGAGGGGGAGGGGGAGGGGGAGGGGGAGGAGGATGAGGAGGAGGAGGAGGGGCAGGAGGGAGGAGGAGGAGGAGGAGGAGGAGGGAGGAGGAGGAGGAGGAGGAGGAGGAGGAGGAGGGGGAGGGGAGGAGGATTGGGAGGATGAGGAGGAGGAGCAGGAGGAGGAGGAGGAAGAGAAGGAGGAGGAGGGCGAAGAAGAAGAAGAACAAGGAGAGGAAGAAGAGGAGGAGGAGGAGGAGGAGGAGGAGGAGGAGGAGGGGGAGGAGGTAGTAGGAGGAGTAGGAGGAGGAGGAGGAGCAGGAGAAGCAGGATGAGCAGGAGAAGCAGGAGGAGCCGGAGGAGGAGTAGGAGGAGGAGGAGGAGGAGGCGGAGGAAGAGGAGGAGCTTGACGAAGGGGGACTCGGAGGGAGGACGGGCGATGGGTGTGGGTTCGCGTTGTCGGTCCCTGGGGGAGGCTCGCGCTCGAGCGCGGACCCCCCTCCGACAGCGCGCGCCCACAGCCCCCTCCGTCCCCCGGCCCCCCCAGGGGTATGGGTGCGTGCTGCTCGTTCGCCGGGAAAGGCGTCGGGGTTCTCCGGCTTCGCGGGGCGAGGGGCAGAAGGGAGAGGGTGCCGATCTCGCTGCCCCCGTGCCCCGCGAGAGGCCCCGAAGGAGAGACCCCAACAAGGCCTCCCAACAAGCCTCAAGTCGGGCGCGTCCCTTTGCAGGAGGAATATCCCAAAATAGTCAAAACATAGTCAGGGGACGATTTTCCCATTATGTTCGACTATGTTTGGTTATTTTTGATTAGTTTTATTTATCCTTCCAAGTCCGCCTGTAGGAGAACATGCCCGACCTAAAACAAGCCCCTGTTGTCCACGACCCATTCTGACCGAAGGCCACCAACATACTGCATAAAGTATGGGCTGGCCGACTGAGCGACGCGACTGAGCCATACCGGAGGATGCCCAGGGGTGCCGATGCCGCTGCCCTCGTTTTCACCTTGTGGGGGCCTTTCGGGAGGCCCTGGCCGACACGGCTAGACTTGCCCCAGACTCATGGTCAGAACGCGCCCCAGGATAGGTCTGGGGAGTAGCAGTGTTGGTTCTGTTTGGGCCTTCCCAGGGTTGGGGTTCCAGGTTCCAGCTTCACAAACCCCTCGCCTCCTGAACAATTGCGACGAGGTGTTTTGGAACGTGTTCGGCCGTTGCAGGGGCGCGCTTCGAGCTTCGAGGCACGTCGTGAGTTTTCTCGCTTGCCCCTGGAGTGTCCAGGGGTCTTCGTTGGCCCCTGGAGTTTTTCTCGCTTCGGAATGAGTTCAAGCAGTTGCGCGTCGCCGTGAGCGTTCCGGGGGGAGCACGGATCTTCCCGAGCAGATGCCATTTCTTGTTGCCTCGCGAACTGCCAGGCTTCCCAGACTCCCTCGCATCGAAAAACAACGACACGACGGAAGTTGTTTGGGCGGTTGTCTCGCCCCCGGACCGTCGAGACACGGCGGGACGAAGTGCTTTTTTGTGGGGAAGGGGCCCAGTCCTCCAGGGAGCCGCACGATGCAACAGAGCACGACGTCGGTGGCTCGAGCTTCGAGGATCGAGAGGGCTTTGGGATGTCTTTCTGCCTTTGGATGGGCCTCCAGCTGGGCATCCGCCTCGAAGTTGTTCGCCATGCTGCGACGCCCGGGGCTCGTCGCGAGGGGAAGGGAGCTGGGCTCGAGCTTCGGTGATCGAGGGCCCCATTCCCGATGACATCTATTTCCCAGCCGTCCTGTGGTGCTGGGTCCTCGTGCTGCAGAGACAGCGCCCCGCATCTCCTCCCTCCTCCTCCCTCCTCTCCTCCTCTCCTCCTCCTCCTCCTGCTCCTCCTCCTCCCTGTCCTCAATAATCATCATCATCATCATCATCATCATTATCATCAGCATCATCATCATCAGCATCAGCATTATCAATCTTCCGCATCATCGTCGTCGTTGTCGCTGTCATCATTATCATCAGCATCATCACCATCATGATCATCATGGTCATCATGATCGTCATGATGATGGTGCTGATGATGATGATCATCATCATCACCATCACCATCACCAGCATCGTCATCATCGTCATCGTCATCGCCATCATCATCCCATAACCCCATCATCCCATCATGCTCACTCATGCGCCCCCACACTAATTTCGACACACCCCTCACACGTTTCGTGGCCCCGTAGGGCGCTCCGCCGAAGAACCCAATTGCAGGGTTCGCATGGCGCCACCGCACCAATTTCGCATCCCCCCTCACACTTCGTGGCCGCATAGGGAGCTCCGCCGAAGGCCCCAAGGCCAGGGTTCGCATTGCGCCACCGCACCCATTTCGGTACATCCCTCACTCGTTCCGTGGCCCATGGGAGCTCCGCCGAAGGGCTCAGTTGTGGATTTCGCATGGCGCAACCGCAACTACGTCGGCACACCCCTAACACAATTCGTGGCCCCATGAGGGAGCTCCGCCCAAGGCTCCAGTGGCAGGGATCGCATGGCGCCGCTACACCCATTTCGGCACGCCCCTCACACGTATCGTGGCCCCACAGGGAGCGCCGCCGAAAGCCTCCATGTGTCCCCGCCATCCATTTCGGCACATCCCTCAAATTTCTCGTGCTCCCAGAAGGAGCTCCACCGACGAGAGCACGCACCACTGCGGTACTCACACCTGTATTTGGTTGGGTCCTTCGCCAGGATAATGTTTGTCAACGGGCGAGTGCACTGAACAAACAGATCGGTGGACATCTGCGTTTGGGATGTGTTTGTTGTTTTCTGCACGCTTCCAGGAGGCTTCTTGTCGCCACGACTGTATTCGTCTCGAAATTTAGACCCCAGCGCGCACCAGGAGATGTCTGGGCCGATTCTGCTTGGGTCGCCATGGAGGGCGGGGTCCTGAGGGAACGGGGTCCTGAAGTGCTTCTCCGCTTCCGGGCTCCTGCATGAGGCCCCTCCAGGGCCCGGGACTGTCCAGAAGCTATCCGGCATGAGCACACCACCTGGCGGAATTTACAATGTGCGGACCCCGTTAGGGGATTTCGCCGCACCCAGACCCTCTCACGCGCAGATCCACTCATCATTAAGCGGCATGGTCAGACTCACTCGTATCCGTGTTTGCTCGCGCGCAAATTGATGGATCCGCAGCCACTCATGTCAAGACTGGCTCATGCAAGAACTCTGATGCCCCGACATCCACTCGCGCTCATACATGAGATGGGCCAATACATGTGGCTGCGAGAAAATCCCAAGCGAAAATCTCACTGACTAGCCGCATGCATCGGGTCCACAAACATGGTGTTGATGATGCTCCAATCGAATTCACCATTCTCTGGTGGCTGGAAGTTGAACCGGAGAATTTGTCCGAGGATGTCCTAAGCGAAAGCGCCATTCTCTGGTTGCCAAAGTGGCACATCTTGCGCAACCTCTTCTGTCCGCACTTTTGAATACAGCGGGTTGTAGGGGAAAGGAATCGCACTTCCACCTCCTCCTCTTCCTCCTCCTCCACCTCTTCCCCCCCTCCCGCCCCCGCTGGAGCTGGGCCAGAGTCTCGAAGCCTGATTGTCAGGATGTTTCGCAAAAGCGGCGCAATGAGTCACCCTCCCCATCCCCCTTTTGGGGAGGGGGGCCAGGTGGGAGTGGGGGTGCTTCCCTAACGTTGAGTCGGGCCTGTCCCTCTACAGGAGGAGATTTCAAAAATAGTCATAAAGTAGTCAGGGGACGATTTGTTTGTACGTTTTGATTATTTGAGGGCATTTTCTGTGTTTTTCTGATTTTATTTTTCGCTCACGATCCCCTTGTATGGGACAGGCCCGACCTAACCCTAACGAGGAGGTGGCCCCAGGAGGGAGGCCCTGGGGTCCAGGACCCGTTTCGGCCAAGGCCCGCTAGAGATTATTGTTTGATCCTCTGGCGTGTCACGGTGGTTACCCCCTGCATCCCACCTCCCCGCTCCCCCCATATGATGGGGCCCGATTGTGTGTTAGCCGCTCTTGCATGCTCACCCCGCCCAATCGTTACCGTTGACGGGGCCCCCATTCCCAGCACCCCGTTGGGTAACAACCGTTACCTGGGAACAGATCGAGGACACGTAAGACTCGAGTATGCCGGAATTCGGGTCTGTCGACGTTTTCTGACGAGCGCGTCCTGGATTTTTCGACGGTCCGGGTTTCGTGGGATGCCTGCAGCGTGGGCTCGCGTCAATTTTCTAACTGGCTCTCGTCATTCTCATGATGGCCCCGTCAGGCCATCCCGAGTCTCCCGAACCCGAGTCTTTACGTCTCCCCGATAGCTCGGAGGTTGATAGACCTCCTACCCTGACACGTCGATTAGCGAATTGCCCGTTCTCGGTTCGCGAGAGGGCGTCGCGGCCGTCATTTTTGCGGGTCCCGGTCCGTCGGTCTCGGTCCTGGGCCGCTTTCACTAAAGGATGGCTTACTGAACGGAGGTTTGTCCACCGCCGAGTGGGTGGTTTACTAAAGGGAGGTTTACTGAAGGGTGGTTTACTGAAGGGTGGTTTACTAAAGGGATGGTTGTCGACCGCCGAATCGCAGAAAGGGCAAATCCCATCGGTGTCCCCCGTGCTGCAGGTACGGAGACTGGTGCTACGGCAGGGTGATGTGGGCCGCGCGCCCAGCAGCGGCTGCGGGCGTGGGGGGAGCGGACGTCGGCGGAGGCCGGGGCGAGCATCGGGGATCGGCGGGATGAGCGGGGGCAGCTGCGGCAGGAGGAGAAAGGGGAAGGACGGAGGAGGGAGGGAGGGAGGGAGGGAGGGAGGGACGCACGGAGGGAGGTGGAAGGAGGAAAGAGGAAGGAGGAAGATGGACGGAGGAAGGAGGAATCTGGTAGGCGGGAGGAGGAAAGAGGAAGGATGGAGGACGAAGGAGGAAGGCGAAAGGAGGGATGAGGAATATGGACG